CAATCATCACAGTAAATATTAGCTTTTGGAAAATTTTGTAAAAATTCAGTAAACATATACAACGCAAACTGTAGAGCAAAACTTCAAATATAAAGCAGAGAAAATGATAACATGACATTCTGTGTTATTGAGAAATTCACTATATAGCTACGTAAACGAAATGTAAATGTAATTCAATATGACACTCTGCTTTTATTTTTGTCATTGGAATGAAAACAACTATATTGAGAGTAGATTCGAATTCGGGATTTGAATTGAATATTAAATATTATTGAGAAGAGAGTTTTTAATTTTTTATTAACAGAATTACTGAATGTAACTGAGAAAACTTTCGCAGAGCGAAAGGTAAATAAAAAATTTCCTTTCAGAGAGAAAGGAAGTAGTAAAAATTATTTTCAGTATAAAAGAAATTTGGTACTTAAGATTCAAAGTAAATTGCAATGGACCAATTTCATTAATTTTTATTTATAATTTATGAAATAATTTTGAAGATGCTTTTTAATATTCCGAAAGTAAAAATTATTAAATTTCCATTTTATAGCTTCAAAAATTACTCGATCTGTGTTCCTGTGAGTTTAAGACTTGTTTATATTTCATTTAAAAATAAAAATACTCGTATTTTAAAATTTTGTTATGAAAGAAATTTTGCCATAGTTTTCAATAAATAATTCAAATTTTGCATTAAAACGAGTTCTTAAAATGTAAATTTCCAATAGAGTTTTGAATGTTCACTAATATAATGTTACGTGCTAAAACAGCAGTCTATAAATTCAACTAAACAAAAAAAACCAAATTAAACAAAAATAATTAAATTGAAACAATTGCAACACAGCAGGATACAACAGGACTTTATAAATTGCTTACAATTTTTTTCTTAAATTTTTTCATTTTTCCATTTCAATTGCATTACACAGAAGTTTCTTTATGATTTATCAATGTTATTAAATCTAACAAATAAAATTAAATCATGAAAAATAAGGAAATCTAAAAAGTTGAATAAAGATAAAAAAAAAAAAATTATTTCTTTCCGACATCTATACAGTCATAATTAATTTTTATTTAATTCGCACAATATTTTATAGAGCAACTTTATATCGATTAGATTTTACTGACTGGAATTTCAGCTCTCAAATGAGGAAACTATAATAAAATAAAAGGATAATAAAATTAATATGATATTTTAATTTTTGCTAACAAAAATTGTTTCTTTCGCTCATTGAGCATTGTGTAGGAATAATTTCAAATGTAATATGATAATGCGATTTTATGGTTATATGGAGGGTCTGCTTCTGTAACACATTTTTGATAAAATTTATTGAAAATTCAAAAATTACTTAATACTAAATACTTTTTACTTAAATTTGTTTTTCAATATATTTTAAAATTTCCTGTGCTTTTATATTGTTAATATCATTGGGTGTGATTGTATTCATTGAATTCGGTAGTTACTGTTCAGTACAGTCAATCCCAATTCTACGTGATCACTATATATTTTGAAAAATATGTACCCAGGAATGCATATGTGCGTGTATTATGTGAGCGATCAGTAAATTATAGATTTTTTCCACTTAAAATATTAATAAAACACGGCACATAATCCAAAAAATGTCGTCGTAAATGTCGTAAATGGTTTTTTATTCACATTTCTTAATGAATTGTTGATACCAAGGGGTTAAATAAAATTTACTATGTTAAATTTTCTGAGATAAATACTGCAAATTATATAATTAATGTTCTCAATTATTTATCATTAATTCTCTCTTCTTGATTTTAATTACTACCATAGAATTTATGCCCTTTTAGTAATCAAATTTTATATTTTCATCACCGCATCACCGCATTATTTCAGTTCTTACTACTCTTTGATATTAAAATAAGATCACAACCCATACTATTCTTGTGGTCAAAAAATTTTTACCTTAGAATCTTGCATTTAAAATTAAAAATTTGATATTAATTTTAAAATATTTTCAAATCCTACATGAAATACCTGTATGTGTTGAGCCGTTAAAGTAGTGTGCGTTTGAACCATTTCATTTCGGTAGATTGAGGTTTCATGGTGATTGTAGATTGAGAAATGTTGGTAGGGTAGTAGTGGTAGCGACAAGGACAATTAATCGCGTACACCAAACAAATAAAGGAAACACACAAAAATTAATAACATAAAATAAATTCTTAAAACTAAGAGAAGAAAATCAGTTAAAAGTACCGTTTATATTTTTAATTTCCTTTTTTAATTTAGTTTTGTTCCTTTTTGGTTTTTTTTTTTTTTGGGGGGCTTTCAAAATAATTTACATTATAACAAATTTAGAAAAAAAATAAAGAGAAATTATGCCATTTAAGTATAAAAAGTAAAGTAGAAATTCTAAAAAGAAAAAATGCCACAGTCCATTGCTCCTCGTATACATATATAGGAAAACAAAAGAGAAATAATAAAGGAAAACAAAAATCGAAAAAATGAAAAAGATTAAAAGGACTAAAAGTTTAATAGCCTGGAAATTTTTGTTCCTAAATGAAGTCATTTTTAACTATAATAAGACATTAATGGAATGAAGTGGTTTTTGTTTTTCTTTTCTGGTACAATGAGACTCAATTAACTTCATTGTTTTTAATTATATATACGTAGAGCTTTATGAGCTATATATAACTACACATAATATTCTTTGAACAAAAATTGCTTCCTTAAATTTTTTAAGATCTTTTACACAGAAAAAAAATTTTCACAAAAACCAAAAAGATTTCAAAAAATTTTGTGTCAATTATTGAAGACATTTTTTTTTTCTAAATTTGTTTACCTTTTCGCCAGTATTCCAAATTTTTTGAACAGATCTAGGGTTAATTCGAAAAATATAATTTCAAAAATCAAATACAAATTTTCATATTGAGATTTTTCTATCAGTAATTGTAAACCAGTCATATGTTTTGAAATATTTATAGTTTTGGCTTCATAATTTTGAAAAAAAATTTAAAAATTTTTCAAGAAACCCCTCTTGTATATTATAATTTTGCTCCTCGATTTTTCGGAAATGATTCGTAATCCGAGGCAGGAAATGCTCTTAATATGTGAGTCTGTTTTCCGAATCTGATTTCGGATCAAAATAAAACAAAAAATTCTGAATCATTTGGCAGGAAACTTTATAAATTAGATTAAAAAAAAAATTAAGTTTTTCCATGCAATCGCCCTGTGCTTTGTATAATATTCTTTGCCGCATTGGAGCCAGCTTTTAAAGATTCTGAAATTTTTGAAAATTTTTTTCAATTCGTTCATTGTGAATAGTAAGATTATTTAACATTATTGAGGACATCTCTTCAAAATAATTTTAAAATGAAGCACAAATATCATTTCTTTTGATCCTTGTAGTGCTTTTATGTCTACAATATTTTTGTACATTTCCGAAAGGCAAACTTATATTTATTTGTATCATTTTTTTTTTGTTCATTTCAAATGAATAAAAAAGGAAAAAAAATTCAGCGAAATTTTCTTATTTTACTCCTTTTATATGTTGTCCTTTAAATTTGGATCCCAGTACATTATTATTTCAATGCATATTAAATTTCGTTAATAAATCCTTGAGGCAAATTAAATGAATTTTTCTGCTTCAGAAAATTTTCATAGTATTATTATTATTATTGTCATCATTGTTAAACGTTTAAAACCGCTCAAACCACTAAAACCACTTAAAACAATTGGAGGAAAACAAAAGTTCATTTTCTTCTTTGTCGCTTTTATAGTGGTAGAAATTTTTTAAATTTCTTTTTCGATCTCTTCTTTTTTGGTGACCGGACATCATTGTTCATATAATTATAAAATTTTTGGTTTTGTTTTTTTTTATACTTTTTCAAAGTTTACCCCCATTTGGGTGCTTTTAATATGAAATTACTCCCTAGGGGCAAATAGATATCTGATCTTAACAAAAAATACTTTTATATTACAAAAAATTAAAAATAGGTAGGTTAAAATTAAAATAAAAAAATGACAAAGAATGTTTATTGGACATGACTGAGAGAGAATAGGGATGACATTTTTTCGTTTAAAAATTTCAAAAATTTTGAATTTGGTCTTGCATAAAATGAAAAAGGATCAAATCTTAATATTGTAGAATTTTTGAAATTATTCATTTCATTATTTATATTAGAAATAGGAAAAAGCTGGTTTTCAATAAACCGGTTTGGAGGAACAAACTGATTTACCAATCTTGCAAACAACAAGATTAAAGTGATGCGAATAAAAATAGGTAATGAATTCTATTGGACGTTTTATGACGTATACTTTCAGATTTCTCATAAATTAGTTTAAATAAAATTGTCATCTTGGAAATTGTTGAAGTAAGTAGAATTTTTACTATTAGAAAACAGCTCAGTATATGCTTCAATAGGAAACCTTATATGAGAGCTTTCAATGAATTTAAGAGGCGCGACATGACAGTAAATTTTAAAATCTAAATGCGGTGAAAATCGTTATAACTGTGAAAATCGCTATTCACTTTTCCGAAAATTATTAAAATATTCTTAAAAGCAAGGCAAATATCTCATAATTTCTACAAATAGTTTTCATGTTTATACCAAAATCTAGGTTCCCATTATCGAAGTTAATCCACAGCTTTCTATTAACCTTATTCAGTTGTCATTTTCTTTAAATGGAATACAAGTCTCCACTCTTAAATGTGAATAGAAAAATTCGTTCATTATCCTTGGTTCTATTTTTTTACTGTATCTATTGAATTTCATTTGTTCTCATATAAAATTTGGTTTCCATGTTATTATCGTTTATAAAGAATTTAAAATTTTAATTTAATAATCATATAAGCAATTTAGATCATATTATGCTGACATTGTAAAGAATTTAAAACGATAATATCCTTATTATATGATGATATCCTTTTTATTATATTAACAAAAAAAAAAAAAAAGACATTCCATTTCGTTTATCTTAACTATTTAATCTTAATATTTCTCATTATTTTCTCTTCTTTTTTTTTTGTCTACTTACATATTTATAGTGTGAACACCGTTTATCCCCTGGAGATATTGCGGTTTTTGCATCAAGATTAGGACCAAATTTATGTTGGCATCCTGGTTGCTTTGTTTGCATAATATGCAAAGAATTGCTTGTTGATTTAATTTATTTTCATAAGGATGGAAAATTATATTGTGGTAGACATCATGCTGAAGCACAAAAACCTAGATGTTCTGCATGTGATGAGGTGAGTGTGTTTGAAAAAGAAGAATCAAAAATTTTTTTATTTTTTTTTTGTTCTTTTTAACAAAATTTTATTAAAATGTCTAATAAATTTCTATTTTTTGTATAGATAATTTTCTCAGATGAATGCACTGAAGCGGAAGGACGAACATGGCATATGAAACATTTTGCATGCATTGGATGTGATAAACAATTGGGTGGTCAACGGTATATTATGAGAGAAGGCAAACCATATTGTCTTGTATGTTTTGATGCAATGTTTGCTGAATATTGTGATTGTTGTGGTGAAGTAATTGGTGTTGATCAAGGACAAATGAGTCATGATGGTCAACATTGGCATGCAACTGATCAATGTTTTTCATGTTGTACCTGTAGATGTTCTCTATTAGGAAGACCATTTTTACCAAGACGTGGTACAATTTATTGTTCGATAGCATGTAGTAAAGGTGAACCACCAACACCATCTGATAGTTCAGCACCATCAGGACCACGACCTCAAAGAATCAATAATACATCGCAAACATCAAAAAATCACCAAATTAAAAATCATTCAGTCAATAAATTACCAAATCAATCACAAAATAAAACAAAAAATAATAAAGATTATTTAGATAATATAGAAACAAATAAGAATAACCAACAAATTGGAGATGATAATACCGATGACAGAGAAAGTAATTCATCAACAATTAAAGATCATCGTAGAGAACCAATTGATTTAACTGATTTAGGTGTTAGTTTAGATCAATTGAAAACAAGTACAAAATCATCAATTAATTCACTTGATGAAGTTAATAATTTAACATCATCACTACCAGAATTATTAATTTCCTCACATTCTAAAGCCGAAGATTCACATAGTTATCAGAGTATAGATAAAGTTGAAATTGGTGTACAAATAAATACACCATCAACACCAGAATTAATACCTGAAATTAAAATAAGACAAAGTCCATATCAATTACAACAGATAACACATCAAAAAATACCACAACCAAATCCTAGAACAACACAAATTAAATGTACACATATAATACCACCAGAAGCAATGGCTAGATCAAAAAGTTATACAGATAATTCATCAGCTAGAAGAAGACGTCAACGTAGACGAAGTCAAAGTAAAAATCGTTCAAGTTCAGAAAATCAATTGAATAATAATGAAACAAATAATAATCATAATAATAATAATAATAATGGTAATAGTCGAATACATCAAAAGCAATCTAGAGATAATCAAAGATTATCAAATGACAATAATCTTGATACAATAAGTATATGTTCAACATGTTCCTCAAGTTCATCAAGTCAAGATGAATATGCATATAGAATACCAGTACGTAAACATTACGGTGGTGTTCGTTTATCATATGTTCCAAATGATGCTATCGCTTATGAAAAGAAACGTAAACAAGATACAAATCGTTTAAGCAATACTGATATAACAGAAAATAAAAATTGTGTTATATCATGACAGGCTTTAATATCACAAACTGTTAAAATATCATTAATTGAAAAGAAAACAAATAAAAAATATTGTTGTAATACTTGTAATCGTAATTGTATACAAATAATTGGAAAATATTTGGGAATAATTAAAAAATCACCTGTAGCAAATGTATAAATTAATTATTAAAAATTATTATTAAACTTAATCTTACAGTAGCTCCGAAACTTTCAAGTCTATTAATCAAATTTTTTTTTTTCTACTCCATATTTAATTCCGAAACTGTTTCAGGAAAATTTAGGCTCAATAATATTTTTAATAGACTTGTTTACACAAAATCGAAGGAACATGAAAATTATTCTTAAGCGACCAGTTTAAGTTCAATTGTGAATTTCTTTTATCGGATACATAATAAAATTCTACGTCGCCAGCTAGCAGGCGATTAAATTACTATATTTTGTATTAATATATTAAAAGTCAAATAGAGATTTCGTACACAAACACAATTTGAATAAATCCGAAAATATTTTGTTATAGTTTTCTTAATATCTTGTAAATTTAAGCAAATCTTCGCATGAAACTTACCTTTCTTTCAATTGTTATTCACAAAATTATTATTAAAAAGAGTTCGCCTAAATATATGCAATATTTTTTTTCTTCTTTTGAAAATTAATTTCGACGATGTTTGTATTTTATTCCCCAAGAAAATAGCTATTGTAGCTAAAACATCTTTTTTCGAAAACGAATATTTAAAATATTATTTTTTTTTCATAATTTTTAATAATTATGAATATTAAAATAAAAACTTTTAAAATATTTAATTTTAAAAGTTTTAAAATAAGCAGTCGCATACCTATGAGACAAAATTGTTTTATGAAATTTCAAAAATTTTATACTCTTGGCTTATACAAATTAATTTTATAATTTAGAGAAGAATTATTTTTAAAATTAAAAAAAAGTTTTGTAATTTTATAGAAACTATCAGATATTCTAAAAAATTTTTTTGGATTTAGCAATAATATTTCGTAAATAGCAGTTTAATTAAAAAAAAAATTCCCAATTCAAAAAGTTTCCCATTTAAAGCCATCCAAACTTATGATTGTTATAAATTCTTTTCGATTTGTATACTTTTCAACATACTAATTTGCATATCGTACATTGGGAAGAATAATAACATACTAACTCAAAAATATTATTTCAACTTTCGGAATTCAAAGTATTTAATGTCGAATGTAAATTGCTATTGAAGACTAAAAATCATTCGTATAGTAGAATAGTTGTAACTATTCTACCAAGTATATGAACAAATTTTCTGTATTATTTTATTATAGAAAATCTTTATATAATTAAAGAATAATAATAATTAATTTAATTGTTCTTGCAAATGTGCGATATGTAGATGCCAGAGTATATTTTATAATAATATGTATATTATACAAAATTACATGTAATATTAAAATTTAAAATATAATAATATCATTAATGGAAATAAAACATAATCAAAATGAAAAATTATATAGTTACTTGCATATTAAATAATTATTATAGAATTAAAAATTAAAAAAAAAATTATTAAAAACATAACTATTGTAATTACAATAATAGTAGTCAAAATATTATTATACAAAATGATGCGTCATTTCTTTTCATATTATAATTTTAAATAGTAAAAATATAAAATGTATAATGAAACAAAAAAAATAATAAGTAAAACAGGCTTCCAAATGTTCCAATTTTAATGAATTTTTTGTTTTTGGTTTTCTTAAGATTATTATTATAAATTAATAATTTCAAATATTATTATACAATATAACAATTATATAGTGTTCAAATTTTGTATAATATTAATTATATATTATAACAATATATTTAAGAATTACCGAACTACATATCCTTTTATTAAATTTACCTTTTCCTCCATTTTATATTTTCATTTTATTAAATATTTTTTTAATTAATAATTAATAAAAGAAAAATTAAAGAATAAATGTGACATAAATGCAATAGTGTTATTATTTAAGAGAGAATTAAAAAGAGAATTATTTTACATAAATATACATTAATATTGTAAAGAGAATTTAATTTTTTCATTAAAATGAGAAAAAAAAAAAATGAGAAAAAATTAATTTGTATTTAATATTAGAAATTTATTTATAAAAGCGTTTTTATTTAAAATGTTTTTTTTTTTTTTGTTTTACTTTTAATGAATTGTAATTACAACTATACATACATATACATATAAAGAGGAAAGAAAAAATAAAATAATTTTTATTAAGAATAATGTAAAACTTGTGTGTGTGTGTGTGTTTTTATATTTTAATTTTTAAGGTCTGATTGTCTGTAATCGCTATTTTACTATCGCCATATTTGAGAAGAAAGTGAGTAACTACGAGTATTCTATTGTGTATAATGTAATTTTCGTGTGGGAAGAATAATTATTCTGTACTCACATTGTTTTGGAAGGTGAGACGTTCAGTCGATATTTTGAGAAAAAATGGAAAAATTCAATTGAAAAAATTAGTAATTTTATTGGAAATATGAAAATATGAATTAGAAAAACGAAGAGAGCTCTGATTTGAAAGTTAATAAAAATTGAGATGAAAAAGTGAGATACACGATTAGGCTGTATTATTATTGACGGTACGTAAGTATAAAAATATAATTATGTATAACAAAATATTTTGAAATTTTTGTACGTTGAAGTACGAACGTATGTTCGTTATATAACCACGTGTATTCCTCTGTTCGTTTGTCCGGTCCACCGGTAATCTAAAAATTAATTGAGCTAAATTCACTAAATTTTTATAAATGATTTATAATAGTTAATACCAGAACCGTATTTATAAATTGGATGTGATCGTGGCAGTGGTTTGGTATAGCTGCCTTACAACTTTCAATATTATTTGATCATATCTAAGGTAGTTAAGGTATAGTACTAAAATTTTTGTATAAAAAAATGAGGTAAAATGGCTACTATTTTCAGTAATAGCTATTGGGCTGTCGTGAGCATTAACGTTATCTCAGAACTCGTGTATACCGCAACACCTATCATACACATCTATATTGTGACATTGTCTGATATATTATTGAAGTTAGAATATGGATAATTCGCGCAAGCAATTATTTTATTAGTGCTGTTATTTGTGATAAAAATCCTACCATATGAAATTTGATTCCTTATGGTAGCTGCCATACAACTCTAATAGTTGTTTGGTTATATCTAAGAAATTATTGAAATTACAGTAGTGAAATTTTGCATAAATTAATAAGGTTATATGTGGTTTCAGAAAAAATCTTTGAGATGGCATAAATTTATGTTATAACTGCCAAATATATATAAAGCAGCCCTATATGCTTTTGAAAAGCAAGGTCATGTGGAACAGTGTGGCAATTACAGTATAACTCTCGATGCGATTCGTAAAATGATTCGTACGGGTTGACAAGGTATCTATTCTCGTTCATATTATAAGAATTCTTAAAATGGAAGTATAAAATATTTTTCATTTAATTAAAATCGTATTATTTTTTACTTTGTAAGCTTCTATAACTGTATATGAGGTTCATTAGTGTTATACAATATAAATCAATAAAATAAATATTTATTATCCATTTTATTTGAAAGAATTTTTTGTATAAAATGGAATATCCTATAAAAGTTCATGACCTTCCCTCTTTCATATAAAAATATCACATTTCCTAAAATCATTTTTATTTTCCATAGATAAGCCTTTAAAGACTCATGTACATATATTATCATCTTATATTTACAGAATTTATATATAGTATAACGAAAGGATCTAGTGGATTTAATGGCTTTTGATTATATAATGATAATTTTTTTTAAAGGTTTGCAAATACACACATATATGCACACAATTTATACACGTATATACGTGTATAATATTAAAGATTATGTAGGAAAATCTTTTTAGCCCATAAACTTACTATTCTCAAATATTTTATATTAAATGTTCCTTTCATAAAATAAAGACTATTATCCTAGTATAGTTATTATATCCTTTATATAGTTCACAAATAAACTATATACATTAATATAAAAGAGATTTTATTGTCTTATTATTTTTGTTCTTGTTCTCTTGCTTTTCTCTATTTTACTCCTTTGTTATGTAGTTCACTATGCTTACATATATAAGATTTACTTTTAGCTTTTTTATATTTACTTTAGTTTTTATTACAAACCAGGAATGTCCGAAGAATAAAATTCTTTATTCAATATTTTAAAAAATTTTTTTTTATTAACTATAAAGAAATGCTATCATTGATTCATTATAGTTATTTTTATGACCGTCAACAAAACTAAGATATTTCGTAAGGCTACTTAAAAAAATTTTACTAAAATGTGATTAACAGTAAGCTCCAGAAGCCTATAGTTTAACATCATGTCGTTCATAACTGAATTACTAATACAATGTGTAATTAAGTCATTCATCTGTTCTGTTACTGTATGACAAAATTTCCATTTAGTTAATATCATATTGTTCATTCTCAGATTGAAAATATCTCGCTCTTTACTTACTTTAAGATTATATCTGAATATCGGAATTGTAAAATAATTCTGGGCTTTTATTTAGACTTTAATATTTCAATAGCATAATTTGCTTAAAAGTTAGTGATACTGAGGGTGATGCCAAAGAACCAAGAATTAGTTGCTATGATAGCCATACAGGTCATAATGGAGTCAAACAATAGCTTAGCAGTAAACTAGTAAAGGTACTAAATGAAGTTGATACGTAAGGTCTGGTATTTATATCAGTCGTACGTTTTCGATTTACAATTTTTGAAAAACAATAAAAAACATTTAAATTAAGTTGAAGCATGTAGTTATGCAGTCAGGAAAGTAGTTCAAAATTGAATCCTTCGAATCAAGGACTAAAAAAATAGTGTTAACTTTTAAATATGATTGTATACATATATGAAAACCAATCGATTAGATTAATCGCAATAAAATTGCAATTTTTTCTTTTAATTTTTCGATATGAGTATAAAAACCGAGCGCATAAACAATAACGTAGGCAACACTTGTAAAATCTTATTTCTCTTAACAGTTTAAGCACTTTATATACAAAGTAATAATCAAGGTCCTTATGTCGTATCATTATTTTCTGTTACAAAATATCAAAAATTTACTGTTTACATTTTTGAATTACAAAATTTTTGTATATACTCGTACAAGTAGAATGAAAGGAGTAAAAGAAAATTGTATAGGTCTTCCAAATAAATATTTTAGCACATTTACTTTGAGTAGATGAATTGTGAAGTCGTGAAAAAGTACTC